TCTTTCAGATATATTGCATGACAGAAAACATTTTTAAAAACTTCTTTCCCTAAAGAGGAAAGCAAAACAACAGAACGTATATATTTTCAGTGTTTGAGTTAATTGTTTTTGTTGACGAATGCCTCCGTGAACACCACACTTGCAAAGCTCCGCATGCAGCACGGATGGAAAAGGCAAATTAATAGAGGAAGGGGAGTGACCAAATAATCACTTTGCAAAGGACACGTTTCCTTCAGGGGAGCCTGATGTCTTACCCTCCAGGCCATTGAGAAGTGGCACACGTGTCACTATGGGACACGAACCATCATGGTGAGAAGTCCCAGAGGGCAGAGGGTCTCCAGAGCTGCGGTCCCCAACGCCTGGGCCACGGCCCAGTAGCGGTCCTGTTAGGAACCAGGCCTCGCATCGCCACCTGAGCTGCGCCCTCCCCACCCCACTGTCCGTGGAAAAACTGTTTTCCATGAAACTTAGGATCCCGCCCCCCAGCGGGAGGTGAGCAGCGGAGAGCAAGCGAAGCTTCATCTGTATTTACAGCCACTCCCCATTGCTGGCGTCCCGCCTGAGCTCTGCCTCCACCCACCCCATGAAACCAGTCCCTGGTGCCAAAAACGTTGGGGACCGCTGCTCTAGAGGATTTTCAAAGGAAATAGCAAAGCCATTTTTAAAAGAGATGACCTAGTATCTACTTACAGTCTATTCAGCTTGGAATCAGTACTTGGAGAGATACTAGAACAAATAATCAAATACTCAATTGGCCATCAAACTGGAGGGTAGAAGACACTGGGAAGGAAGCAGCAATGTTTGTGAAAGGGCAAAGGGCGTTGCCCAATCCAAGCCCCCACCCAAGCCTTAGGAACACAGGGCGCAAAGGTCCTCAGGAGTCAGGCCTGGAGGCCAGCCCCAAGGTCACCAAGGAAGTTGCTACCATGGGACGTACCACAGGGCTTTGTGATGCACCCCTTAAGCACCTATAACTAGTGTACCTAGATACAACACCTGTTTCAGCAAATCTTTCCAAAACGAAACATATATAACAGGACGTGAAGTTTAAAGATCAAAGCCCTGGTAAGACTGCCCCCCACCAGCTGTGGCAAAGAAATTCTAGGGCCATACGGGGGTCATCTGTTTCCAGACATGAAACTATTTGTTTTCTACGCAAATCAGAGAGGTCTGCAAATACAAATCCAACCATAGCAATCAAGAGAAGCGAAGGCAAGTTGCAAACCGAATGTTGGAGAAGAATTACCCCCAGCACTCTCATTATTCCGTTCGGTAACAACCACAGTAAAACGACAGCTGACATTCCGTGAACTTCTTAATCTGCCAAAATATCCCAAGCACTTTGATCTTTTAACTCATATAACCCTCGTGACAACCTTCTGAAGGCGAGACTTTTACTGTTTCCGTTTTGCCAACAGGCAAACTGAGTTCCTGAGAAATAAAGCCACTTGTCCAAGACAGCACAGCCGAGACGTAGCAAGCAGAACACAGTCAGCCAAGACTAAAGAGCACAACGGAACTTCAGTGCTTGCATGTTTCTCAGACTTGTCCACACGGCGCGACGAACTGATAAAATATCCAGCTAAGCGCAACTGAACATAACATTTTGTGTTATATCAAAGAGTACGTTTTACTCATTTCTAGAGTCAAAAAGCAACAGGTATCAGAGAAAATTAAAAAGCATTCGTATAAGAGAAAGACACAAAAGTTAAAGACAATCAAACCATCACCTTTGTTTCTGTCTTGTGCACGGGAACATTCGGCCAACTCCGGTTTAAACAGGAAGTAGGTCCCCAGCGTGAGGCCCTCGTGTCACCGACACCGTGTCTGGGGAAGGGGCTTCACGACTGGAACCCGGGGAAGACGCCGGCGTGTTTCTGCAGTTCATGATCTCTCACGGCCCAGGACTGCCAGGTCCGGGGCGGCCCCCGGTCTGCAGAAAATGCCCGGTGGATTCGAGAGTGGAGAAGCGCAGGCAGAACAGAAAAAGTCAGGCGCCGCGGCCTGCCCGGCGCACTTCCGGTGCGTCCTGCAGCCCCAGGACTTGCCACACCCCCCGCCGTGCTGCAGGCCCTGCTGTGGGCGTCCACAGGAGCTGCAGCTGGGTAGCTGCGCCGTTCCTCCCAGAGGCCTTTTTGTTCTCCCGTCCGGAGGTGAGGACGACCTCCCCGCATCGCCAGCGTCGGGAGGGGAACCCACGGAGGAACAGGGGACTTCACTGAGCGTTCGGAGACCCAGGAGGGGAGACCAGGTCTGCGCAAGACTTTGCTCCTTTGTGCTTGTCACGTTTTACATGAAAACTTAATGTAAAATGACAAAAGTACTCACCTCAGTCAGTGTTATGACTGGTCACACAGGGAAGCTTCTGGAATAAGCAGAGCAGTGAGGGTTAGATGAAGGCCATGGCCCTTCGGCTGCTATGAAAACGCCCACCCAGGTTAGTGCTGCTGTGGCCTCACGTAGAAATTTCACTTAAGATGCCAAATTGTAAATAATTGTCCTTCGAACATATTTTTGCTCTTTTTTTTTACAGCTCTGATACTAAACTGAAATTACACTGTGAAATTTGACACCAAAATAAGGAAAAGTTTTGGTAGTACTAATGACCAGTTCCTGCGAACCTGAGGGTCCAGGCAGTGTGCGTGATCGCGAGGGCTGCTAACGCCCTGAGACAGGCAGCATTTCACAGATGATGCGGCTGGGACCCAGCAAGGCTTCGCGATCACCCAGTCGCTCAGCGCATGAGCACAGACCTGGGGCGCAAATGTGCATCTGTCCACTTGCAACACCAGTGCTCATTCCAGCACTCTCTGTCGCAGAATACCGCAGACAGCAATGGCTAAAGTCTAAAAAATGATAGTAAACAGAAAATTGTTTGTGACAGGGTGAAGAAAATGATATTATAAGACACTACAGAGGTTTTCTGGTTCTGCACTAGGATGGAATAAACATACTTCTCCCCATTCCTCCTACTAGGTAGAGCAAAGATGCTGGGACATTATATATGAGGCAGACACTGAAAGAAAAGAAAAGACAAGGAAAAGAAAAAAGAAAAGAAAGAAAAGAAAAGAAAAGAGAAAAGGGAAGGGAAGGGAAAGGATGAAGGGAAAGGAAGAAGAGGGAAGAGAAGAAGGAGGGAAGGAAAGGGAAGGAGGAAAGGGAAGGAAGGAGGGAAGGGAAGGGAAAGGAAAAAAGGGAAGAAGAGAAGGGAGGAAAGGGAAGGGAATGGAAAGGAAAAAGGGAGGGAAGGGAATGAGGGAAGGGAAGAAGAGGGAAGGGAAGAGGAGGGAAGGGAAGGGAAAAAGGGAAGGGAAGGAAGGAAAGGAAGGGAAGAAGGGAAGGGAAGAATGGAAAGGAAGAAGGAGGGATGGGAAGGGAAGCAGAGAAGGAAAGGGAAAAAGGGAAGGGAAGGGAAGAAGGGAAAGGAAGGAGGGAAGGGAACGGAACGGAACGGAACGGAAAGTAAGAAGGGAAGAGAAGAATGGAAAGGAAGAAGGGATGGGAAGGGAAGCAAGGAAGGGAAGGGAAGGAGGGAAGGGAAGGGAAAGGAAGAAGGCAAGGGAAGGGAAGAAGGGAAAGGAAGGGAAGGGAAAAAGGGAAGGCAAGGAGGGAATGGAAGGGATGCAGGGAGGAAGAGAAGGGAATGGAGGAAGGGAAGGGAGGAAAGAATGGAAGAGAAGGCAAAAGAAAGGAATGGAAGGGGAAGTGAAGCAGGGAAGGGAAGGGAAGAATGGAGGGGAAGGGAAAGAGTGAAAGGAAGGGAAGAAAAGAATGGAAAGGAAGAGTAGAAGGGGATGGGAAGGGAAGAACAGAAGGGAAGAAGGGAAGAGAAGGAGGGAAAGGAAGAAGGGGGGATGGGAAAGGGAAGGAGGGAAGGGAAGGGAAAGGAAGGGAAGAAGAGAAGGGAAGGGAAGAAGGAGGGAAAGGAAGAAGGGAAGGGAAAGGAAGGGAAGAGAACAAGGGAAAGGAAGAAGAAGGGAGGGGAAGGAGGGAAGGGAAGGGAAGGAAGGGAAATAAAAGAAGGGAAGGGAAGAGAATGGAAGGGAAAATGAGAAGGGAAGAAGAAAAGGAAGAAGAGGGAGGAGGGAAGGGAAGGGAAGGAAGGGAAATAAAAGAAGGGAAGGGAAGAGAATGGAAGGGAAAATGAGAAGGGAAGAAGAAAAGGAAGAAGAGGGAAGGGAACAGAAAGGAAGGCAAGGGAAGGGAAGGGAAAGGAAGAATGCATGGAAAGGGAAGGAGGCAAGGGAAGGCAAGAAGGGAAAGGAGGGAAAGGAAAAAGGAAGGAAAAGGAGGGAAGGGAAGGGAGGAAAGGGGAAAGAAATGCAAGGGAAGGGTAGGGAAGAAGGGAAGGGAAGGAGGGAAGGGAACGTAGGGAAGGAAAGAAGGGGAAGGAAGGGAAGAGGGGAAGGGAAGGAGGAAAGGAAAGAACAGAAAGGAAGAAGGAGGGATGGGAAGGGAAGCAGGGAAGGGAAGGGAAGGAGGGAAGGGCAGGAAAACAGGAAAGGGAAGGGAAGGGAAGAAGGAAAAGGAAGAAGTAGGGATAGGAAGGGAAGGAGAAAAGGGAAGGGAAGGGAGAATGGATGGGAAGGGAAGGAGGCAAGGAAACGCAAGAAGGGAAAGAAAGGGAAGGAAAAAAGGAAGGTAAAAAAGGAAGGGAAGGAAAAAGGAAGGAAAGGGAAGAAGGGAAGAGAAGAAGGGAAGGAAAGGGAAAGAAGGGAGGGAAGAAGGCAAAGGAAGAAGGAGGGAAGGGAAGAAGAAAAGAAGAGAAGGGAAAGGAAGAAGGAGGGAGGGGAAGGAGGGAAGGGAATGGAAGACAGAAAGGAAGGGAACAAAGGAAGGGAAGGGAACTGAAGGAGGGAAGGGAAGGCAAGAAGGGAAGGGAAGAAGGGAAAGGAAGGGAAGAGGAAAAGGAAGGGAAGGGAAGGGAAAAGAGGGAAGGGAAGGGTAGGGAAGAAGGGAAGGGAAGGGAAGCGAAGGGAAGGGAAGGGAAGGGAGAATGGATGGGAAGGGAAGGAGGCAAGGGAAGGCAAGAAGGGAAAGGAAGGGAAGGGAAAAAGGGGAAGGAAAGGGATGAAGGGAAGGGAAAAAGGGAAGGGAAAGGAAAGGAAGAAGGGAAGGGAAGGGAAGAAGGGAAGAGAAAGGATGAAGAAGAAAAGGGAAAGGAAGAAGGAGGGAAGGGAAGGGAAGAAGGGAAGGGAAGACTGGAAAGGAAGAAGGAGGGATGGGAAGGGAAAGAGGGAAGGGAAGGAAAGAGAAGGGAAGAATGGATGGGAAGGGAAGGAGGCAAGGGAAAGGAAGAAGGGAAAGGAAGGGAAGGGAAAAAGGAAGAGAAAAAAGAAGGGAAGGGAATGGAAGAAAAGGGAAGAGTAGGGTAGGGAAGAAGGGAATGGAAAGAGGGAAGGGAAGGGAAAGAAAGAATGGATGGGAAGAGAAGGAGGCAATGGAAGAGAAGAAGGGAAAAGACGGAAGGTGAAAAGAGAAGAGGAAAGGAAAGGGAAGGAAAGGGTAGGGAAAAAGTGAAGGGAAGGAGGCAATGGTAGGGAATGAGGGAAGAAAAGAGAAGGAAAGGGGGGAAGGGAAGGGAACGGAAGGAAAGGGAAAGGAAGGAGGGAAGGGAAGAGATACAGGGAAGAAGGGAACGGAATGGAAGAAGGGAAGGGAAGGGAAGTGAAGAATGTAAGAAAAGGGAAGGGAAGAAGGAAAGAAGAGAGGTAATGGAAGAAGGGAAAGGAAATGAAGGGAAGGGAAGAAGTCAAGGAAAGGAGGAAAGGGAAGGGAAGGAGGGAAGGGAAGGAAAGGGAAGGGAAAGAAAGGGAAGGGAAGGGAACAGGAAGGAAGAAGAGAAGGGAAGAATGGAAGGGAAGGGAAGAGAATAAGGGAAGGGAATGGAAGGCAGGAAGGGAAGGGAAGGGAAGAAGGGAAAGGAAAGGAAGGGAAGGGAAAAAGGGAAGGAAAAGAAAGGGAAGGGAAGGGATGCAGGGAAGAAGGGAAGGGAATGGAAGAAGGGAAGGGAAGGAAGAATGGATGAGAAGGTAAGGGAAGAAGAGAATGGGAGGGAAGGGAAGGGACAGAGGGAAGGGAAGGGAAAGGAAAAAAGAAAGGGAATAAGGGAAAAAAAGGAGGGAAGGGAAGGAAAGGGAAGGAGGGAAGGAAAGGGAAGAAGGGAATGGAAAGGAAGGAAAGGAGGGATGGGAAGGGAAAGGAAGGGAAGGGAAGAAGGGAAGGGAAGAAGGGAAAGGAAGAAGGATGGAGAGGGAGGAAGGAAGGGAAGGGAAGGAGGGAAGGGAAGGGAAGGGAAGGGAAAGTAAGGGAATGGAAGAAATGAAGGGAAGGGAAAGGAATGGAAAGGAAGGAGGGAAGGGAGGAAGGGAAGGAGGGAAGGGAAGAAGGAGGGAAGGGAAGAAGGGAAGGGAAAGGAAGAAGATGAAAAGAAAGAAGGAGGGAAGGAGGGAAGGGAAGGGAAGAAGGGAAAGGAAGAAGGAGTGAAGGGAAGGAAAGGAAGGAAGGGAAGGGAGGGGAAGGGAAGAGGGAAGGGAAGGGAAGAGAAGAAGGGAAGATAAGTGAAGAAAGGAAGGGAAGGGAAGGAAAGCAGAGAAGGGAAGGGAAGAATGGAGGGGAAGGGAAGGAGTGAAAGGAAGGGAAGAAGGGAAGGGAAGGGAAGGGGACAAAAGAAGGGAAAATGGGAAAGGAAGGGAAGGGACAAAAGCACAAGTAAGGAGGGAGGGAAGGGAAGGAGGGAAGGGAAGGGAAAGGGAAAAGGGAGGGAAGGGAAGGAGGGAAGGGAAAAAGAGGGAAGGGAAGAAGGAGGGAAGGGAAGGGAAAAAGGGAAGGGAAGGAGGGAAAGCAAGGGAAGAAGGGAAGGGAAGAATGGAAAGGAAGAAGGAGGGATGGGAAGGGAAGCAGAGAAGGAAAGGGAAGGGAAGAAGGAGGGAAGGGAAGGGAAAAAGGGAAGGGAAGGAGGGAAAGCAAGTAAGAAGGGAAGAGAAGAATGGAAAGGAAGAAGGAGGGATGGGAAGGGAAGCAAGGAAGGGAAGGGAAGAAGGGAAGGGAAAGGAAGCAGGCAAGGGAAGGGGAAGGGAAGGGAAGCAGGGAAAGGAAGGGAAGGGAAAAAGGGAAGGCAAGGAGGGAATGGAAGGGATGCAGGGAAGAAGAGAAGGGAATGGAGGAATGGAAGGGAGGGAAGAATGGAAGAGAAGGCAAGAGAAAGGAATGGAAGAGGAAGTGAAGCAGGGAAGGGAAGGGAAGAATGGAGGGGAAGGGAAAGAGTGAAAGGAAGGGAAGAAGGGAATGGAAAGGAAGGGTAGAAGGGGATGGGAAGGGAAGAACAGAAGGGAAGAGGGGAAGGGAAGGAGGAAAGGAAGGGAAGAAGGGAAGGAAAGAACAGAAAGGAAGAAGGAGGGATGGGGAGGGAAGGGAAGGGAAGGAGGGAAGGGAAGGGAAAGGAAAGGAAGGGAAGGGGAAAAGGGAAGGAAAAAAGGAAAGGGAAGGGAAGGGATTCAGGGAAGAAGGGAAGGGAATGGAAGAAGGGAAAGGAAGAAGTAGGGATAGGAAGGGAAGGAGAAAAGGGAAGGAAATGGAAGAATGGAAGGGAAGGGAAGGGAAAGAGGCAAGGGAAGGCAAGAAAGGAAAGAAAGGGAAGGGAAAAAGGAAGGAAAAAAAGGAAGGGAAGAGTAGGGAAGAAGAAAAGGGAAGGAGGGAAGGGAAGGGAAGAAAATGGAAGGGAAGATGGGAAGGAAAGAGGGAAAGGAAGAAGGAGGAAAGGGAAGGGAAGGGAAGGAGGGAAGGAAAGGGAAACAGGGAAAAGAAGGGAAGGGGGAAGGGAAGAGGTGAAAGGAAGAAGGTGGGACAGGAAGGGAAGGAGAAAAGGGGAGGGAAGGGAGAATGGATGGGAAGGGAAGGAGGCAAGGAAACGCAAGAAGAGAAAGAAAGGGAAGGAAAAAAGGAAGGTAAAAAAGGAAGGGAAGGAAAGGGAAGGAAA